ACATTTCCATTCTACCGTATTTTATTATTTCGTTTATTGCTCGGTGATAAAATTAAGTGCTCGAACCCAGACGTTCTATCCTACCAGCAGACTTGCCCATATCTTCCTTTCGGTTCCGATCGACTTTATGTCATCTATTTCTCCTTATGATTTAGTATCGATTAAAGTGTCCTCTAAGATTTTTCTCGTAGAACAAAATGGGACATACGTAGGTGAATTCCCTCGGGCACTCTTTTTTTTTTGCCAATTTTTCGAATTCTTAGTATGGCAGACGGCGAACACCGATACTGCACCATTCGATTCACCATCCTTTGTAAAACAAATACGAGGGTATAATATCAATAATCCTATGAAATAATATGAAAATGTGTCTTCATTGCCAAAGATAGCAAAGGTTTTAGCGGTTGTCGATCGTTCGCTCTGCGTGGGCTTGTTCGATCATTGCGAGGGATGATTCTAACTGTAACGCAAGAATTATTACATCAAGCATATGTGCATTTTAATTTTATCATACATAACCGTGGATACGAGTTTCGAATGCGATATTACCGGACGCGAGAAAGTGTGCAAAATTCCCAATATCAATGTAAAGTTTCATAAAAGGGTCACGAAGAGCCACGCGCATTGTGTGACTGAAAAATCGCTTGAGTAAATTAGTACGGCCATTACGGTTCAGCATACAGAGTACGATGAAGAGGAAGTCCCGAAGAAAGTAATACGAGCGCCTGTATACGTCATAAAAAGACATTAACTTTGGAAAACAGGATGAAAGCAACGTAAAGCTGTATAGGGTTACGAGGGTTATTCATCCGCGACGCATCAGTCGAAATAAACTGCAGATAATTTCAAGTGAATAGCTCTGTAGAACAATGTCTGCCGATCAGCATGAGTCAGAGCGTGGCAGACACGTGAATATACGAGAAAGCCAAAAGTTTACGGAAACTTCGACAGGAGCCATATCGCATGATGGACACTCGCGCGGAGCCTTTGCACGAGCTCTCCCGTGTTTTCGCTCATAACTCCTCGCGCCTGAATCGAATCCTCGGAAGGAGGAGAGGAAGCATCGCTTCTACTTCCTGAAAAGCAGGCACTTTCAAAAATACATGACGTTCGGACAGGGGTGCATACGTGCACGCATGCTACACTGTGAACCATAGCAGATTCACGCAGTCTGCCATTGATTTAATGATAATCCAAACTTTATCTGTACGTATGAATCGACGACACAAACCGTCGAGCGAATTATGAGGTTGGTGAGTGATATAATAGTGAAGGGAAGGGATGATCTTGTATATTCTAAATGCGTCTGTAAGCCGGCTTTGGCGGTGTGTAACGGCACGTACGGTGATAGGTACAACTTCCTTGGTAACAAGTCGAACTTCCTGTTATTTAGCACAGATTGCAGCTCGGAAGTCGAGATACTGGAAAGCAAGAGGATCGTGCACGGTGTGAATTCAAAGAAGGACTGCAAGTTCAGCAAGGCTCAGTTTCACGAGTCACGCGGATTTTTATTTCATCCTTGCGGCAGATTACTCGTTGTCCTTAATGATTTTTTGTTAATACATGTATTTAAAGCTATCTACTTTACAAAGCTTTCCAAGTATCGTACCATACCGAAATTTCCTAGTAATTATTTCCAGGATTAATCAAATGTTGACTCTAATATCGAAAACAGTACGTAGCAATAAGGAAGGGACGTCTCGGGTTATTTAAAGATCAGGGGAGAACGGTGTCGGTTGAAAAGCAATATCGAATAAAATAAAATCGTCTAATCCACCATCTATCGCTAGCGAATCAATTATAATTGTCTGCTCAGCTGTAATGTTGTTTTAAGAAAATGTGACAAAAATTTCACACCTAAATTCCGTAAGAGTCATCGGTAACGTCAATTAGGATATAATTCGTTTGTGTTTCGACCGGTACTTGCAGTCCGCCCACTATTCTCTCCTGTTCTCTTGTTATCCTTTTCAATTTTCGTTTCTCTCGCCTTAAAGGAGTTCAGATTCTATCGGAGAAACGAAAGGACTTGAAACAGTCGAGAGAGTAGTGGAATAGTATATACTCGGTGCTCGACGCTTGACAATAACAAAGTCTACTAAAAGAATAGCAGGAAATTAAATGAAACGTAAGGGGCTAGGGTCGCGACGCACGTGGATGTATGTCCTGTCCTCCTACGCTTAAAGGATGCTCCGGAACCCTCGAAAACATTTTTCCAGCGTATATCTGTACCGGTTGTATATACGGAGAACACTATGATTTTACAACGTTAACACTGTACTTGCAGATTCACGAACAGTTCCCTACCCATTTGTTAATCGCGTTTTAAGAAATCAGGAATCACGTCTTCAGAAAAAAAAATAACAAAGACAATTACGAATCGTAAAAATTCATTGATTTGAAAACTTTCTCATATAATTTTACGAAACGACCCTGTCTGAGAATTGGATGGCTCGACATATTATTCTTAATACAAACCAGTGAGACAGGGTGAGAGATATTTTATTTTGAGGCCTCAACAGTCTACAGTCGATATGGCTTGCGAACTATATTTTTCATAATGAAGTCTCTACTTCAAAAGTTTAGTCCTCACACGACTATCGGATCTCAGGAACTTTCAAGGAACAAACCACATCCAGCCACCTGCTAGGAGCCTCGCTTCACTCATGCGAGTCCCGCACAAGGATCACGATAAAAAGTAGTCAAACTACGTGATACGATCGAACCAGTAATCGAGATGAACCGATGACTATGCTCGAATCTGGGCGAATTAGGTTGTCGAAAAATCGTTCGACACATTCGATTCATCATCGGGAATCCACTCGACAAGGAATCCATTTAAATGCACTCTCGACGTCCCTTCGATCGTCAGACGCGCAATGAAAAAGTTCCTTTCCATTTTCGGCACTGATAGGTTCGATCGGAAAGCAGAGGACTGCAAATACGCGACGGCGTTTCTGATTCGTTTGCCAATTCAAGGGCCTCAACTACAAGCTCAGCAGCGTTTTGCATTGGCGACCTTGTACTTTGCCAAGAGTTAGGGATTACGGGGTGAAAAGTACACGGTGAAAAGTAGATAGTCGTGAGGTAATGGATAGATTAACCACATCCCTGTATAATAGTGGAGGGAAAGCTGCTTAGGCAGCCGAGCCATGTGAATTCACGAGTCACGACTCCCTCCGGATTCGCTGAAGTTTACCCCAGAGCCGTGCACAATGCAAACTGTAACTTATGCGCGAGGCACACCGAGCCCCGGACCGCCGTTAACGCACATGCACTGCCGCACATTGGCGTACAGTGGCGTACAGTGGCGTACAGTCGCGTACAGTGCCAACACACACACTGTCCTGTGCCATAGTGGCGTTTGCCTAGGATTCCTCTTGTTTCTCGTCTCTCCTAGGCCGCCGCGGCTAGTGTGGCTGAAGCTTAATTAAACGTAATCGCTAGAGAATATCGAACCGGAAAATGTTGTCGAGCAAAATGTCGGCTCATAAATTAGAATTGAGAAACGAAATGAAAAAATGTATTATATTTATGACGATCGTATCGGCATACAACCGCCCATGAAGATACGGCTCGTGCGAAATGTTTTATAAACCTAAAAACTTGTAAGTTTTTCGTTAATTTTGGCAATTCAAGTTTTTGGCTCGGTGCCCTGACATTTGTAAATTTAATATAGTTGATCAGAGGTGTATGAAGAAAGGAAATAAAAGAATCTCAAGAGGCGTGGTAGAAGTTCAGAGTGTGCCCGTCTTAAGCTCCGGTAAACACGATCGCGAAATAAAGTGGAAAAGGTGAAGAAGAAGAAGCAACGTCAGCAACGACAACAGCTGTTCCAAAAGTTCTTGGGTGTTCCAGGAGTCTCTTTCAGGGCACATAATCCTGGCAAGTCGCATTACTTTCTAAGAGGTCCAAAAACATGTGCCTTTCTCTCTCTCTCTCAAACACACACAGACTGCCTTCTCATTGTGCTCTCTCTATCAACTTATCATAACTTCGACTGTTTGCTGAAAGCCGCCTCAACGACTCCGTCGCCATTAACTACTCTTCTGTTATTTACCTAGAGAAGCGTTACTCACTTCTGGCCTCAACCTACTTGACCTTTCCTATTTGCATTAACGCAAGCATACCGTGCTTACTTTTCTAGAAAGTGGAGTAAGAAGTGAAAGGTCAACTTGTATTGCACAAAAAAAAACACACACACAAGCACTTGGCGAGATGGAAATTGAAAGGAAGAGAGCAAGAGAGGATTGAAATACTGCAAATAAAGTTCGAGATTTTCGATATAGTGGATAATCAAGTGAAAAGAAAAAGAAAAAGAATCCTTGGAAATAGAATGAATTAATGCATCTCGTTCTCCTTCACTTTCAGCGTCTAACCCTTCCCCTGCCTTGCCTTCCTGTGCCTATTGGAGCCGGTTTCTCCCGTTTCACCGCTGCGTCTCACTGCCAGCTATCGTTCAAGTTCCTTCGAAACAGACGTTCCCAATTATTATTATGAAGGCGCAGTTCCACTTAGCACGTCCAATTATTTCCCACGAAACTAATCTGCAAGTTTCTTTGCTGGATTTCCTCGCTAAAAACTGGTAATAGGATTTTAAAAGCATAATTCGGTTCAGCACTCTGCCAGCATCAGCAGCGAATGTCACACGAGCTGAGCTCGCTGTGGCGCATCTCGAAGAAAAGAGTAGCAGCTACTTTCTTAGCTACGTTTCGTAGCTCGACAGGGAGAGTGTGCTGTAGAGAGTGCTCCTGTGCAGCTGTGCTGCTGCGCCGACTACTTTCATATGGTGATCACCTCGATTTACCTGGCATCTAAGTCGAACGCGTAATTCTCTCTTGAAAAAACTCTTACCATAATGAAAAAAGATAATCTTAATGAATAATCTTCCATTCAATATTATTTCCGCCGACACTTCAATTCTCTTCATTGTATTTTCTTGCTTCTGGGATCGATCCTATTTCGAAATTTTCAACTGCCCCATCAGTTTCCTGCAGGGACAATTAGTTTGTATCGCTTTTTGTATTTGCTTTGTATCCTATAACATAGACGCTTAGGAAGCTCAACGCTCAATCGGTTCGACATATTGGTTCACATTGATAGGTTATTATTATAACCGGTGGTTATATCACCTACTGTTCTGACCTATACCCATATCGATATACGAATATTATATTGTAATATTATGGTTCTCGTTGATAAGCATCAAACTTTTGCGAGACTCATGAAGGGCAAAATAGGAGAATAGGAAGAGCATTCGGTGCATGGTGGAGGTACTCTGACTCTTACCTCTAGTTCGGGGAGGGGCATTAATGTCTGGTACTGTACAAATTTCTTCGTTGCATCGTCCATGTGAGAAGCGAACATTAAACTTCTGTTTTAGGAACGTGCTGATTGTCGCTTCACGATTCTTGCATTTCAAGAAATTTCAAATCGAGAATCATAATATCGCATTTAATACAAAATAAAATACACGAACCAAAAACTACCAACGTAATGAGCTATTTGCAAAGCAGCAGAAAAATGGCAAAAATTATAAAAGCTAAAGAAAACCATTTGAAATTCTTGATAATTCTCGAATTCCTATCATCGGAGCAATGCTTTCTAGTAGCAGCAGCTGCACAGAGAACATAAGTCTCGACATCGATATTCACGCAAACAGGAAAGGCTTCTTGTTCCTCGAGACTGAGTTGCCGCTGAAGAAGGTGTATGCGATTTCTCTCGACGGGCCAGGACCTCAAAAGAATCGGTTCGAGGGTTTGCAAGGCATTGCGTATCCTCAAATGTTCCTCGAGAATTCTGAAATTATAATAATCGATACCTTACGGAGGATCCTGCATCACAGTGGAGACGCAGACCGCAAAATTATCACTGCAAACGCAATCAGACTAAAAAAACTACTAGCAGAAACAACTTTTTCATTGGAAATGTTATGAGCAATTCGCCAAACTCTCTTTTATAGCAATTTAGACATGGACAAATACATCGCATGTGCAGTAATATATTCCGTACTACTACGTTCCCTGTACTACACTGATTGTGAGCGTCATTGATGGTGTCCGGAGGTGGCGGCGCCTGCTCACCTATCTTGGTCCATGGGCGCAACGCAGAGAGGAGAGCACGCTATGGTGCGAACGAGATGCCAAATCTTGCGAGAGCAAGACCACTAGCGTCATAATGCCGACCCGTTCGCACCACTACTGTGCGAAAAGGACGCAACGAGCGACGCTTTGGCGTCTCGCCGCGTCATAGTGCGTTGTGCATAGTGCTTTGCGTTGCGCGCACGGACCAAGGTAGATTGAGCAGGCGTTCGCCAATTATCCTCTCTTACCTCACCGTACTGCGTCTACAAGCTGGACATCATTAATGACGCTCAGTCAGCGTCCATTGCAGGAAATTATATTACCTTTGGAAGAAAAATAATATAAAAATATTTCCCGTTAGAAGATTACCTGTTTTTCCCGCCGAAGAGAGATAAGATCGTGTCGCAGATAACAGAAGGCAACCATTCAAGTAAAAATACGACTATTCGATGAAGAAGCACCAGCGACGTTATTCCAGGAATTCCAAAGCTAGGATATGCAAAGTTTCGATTGGCTCGCTGCGCTTTATTAATTAGCTCGCCCCAAGTGCAGCCAATCGTCGTCGCATTGTAGACTGTTGTACTAGAGTCTTTATGTTCTCTGGAATGAAAATTAGCGTTAAGGGAGAGTCTTTGGGAAATGAGCCAGACGAAAGATGACCATTTATTTGATTCTGGCGAATGAGACGCGAAATTAATCATTTTTTAATCAATCTCTGGTACCGCTGATGACATGTGTCGATTTTATTTTGGAAAAATGTCTTTCGTCGTTGTCTTTATCAGCAGCATCAGATCGCAGGAAAAGAACTGTTTTCTCTTGCGTCTTGAGCCTCGTTGGCTCGGAATAGCTTTTACAAGAATATCTTCTGTTCGTGGAACCAATCGTGATTCGTGATACTAGTAATTTCCCATGACAACTTTTGACTATTGAATATTTCTTGACGCATGGAAAAATAGCAGAATAAGCAAATGCACTGCAGGAAAGGAATAAAAAATGTTATATTCACTTGCTTAACCAGTTTATAAAAAAGAAGAATTATCTCAAGCAGAATGAAGGAGAAAAATCGGACGAGGCAAACTTTCGCTCGCATCTGCCGACGGCTAGGTGACTCGCGAGTCGACCAAACAGGTCGAGAAGTCGACGGTTACGATCCATTAAGCTATTTCGACATTCGAGAAAGCGGAAGCGTACCGAACCACGTGCCGAGTACGCGCCAAGCTACGTCTTTCCATTAAATGATCTTTTGCAACGTATGGCATACGGAGAAATCATAGGACGCAGAATAGCAGTAAGTAAACGTTGACTCAGAGTGAATGGCATTTAACTGCGTTAATGAAATGAGAGAAATAAAAGAAAGTTTCTCGAAGAGCGAATGTCAAGAATGTCGACAGCAGGGAACCTGGTAAGAGTTTTCAATTGAAAACGCCAGGAAATTTCAACGATACAGTTGGGTCGGATGTCATTGGCGCATTTACCTAGTTTCTCTCTGGTAGACTGCAACGAGCATAGTGTTAACGGCCAGATCTATTGGAATCAGTTCTGCGGGTAGTTCGGATCGACAAAGTGCATAGCCTGCACCAACCATGAGTGCAGTTGCACCTCGAAGGATCCCCACGTGTCCTGGCATGGGTTCTTTCCAGGCAGGACCCAACAACGGGACGCGGATCAGGCACAGCGGTATCTCCGGTATGTATTCGTTCTGAAGACTCTCCGTAATTTGTCCCTTATGTCGAAAGATGCTACTGGCTGCACCCACGACACTCACGGCCGGCAGCTCCTGGGCGAATTCGAAGACCGCGTCATGAGGACCGGCGGCGTGGAGGACGACGGTGACGTTCGTCAGCGCTGTCCTGTCCGCTTTGGCTAAGCCGAGGCCGTTGTAGAGGAGATTCCCCTCGAACGGCTTCACGCGGGAAATCGCGTTCGGCTCATCCTGCAGCAACCTCCCGTACCTAACAATCAGCCAGTCATTTATTTCTCGGATTTTTATCAGAAGCTTCTTCCTCAATCTCCTCAAGAATAATCCAAGACCAAAGCTTCGAGTATAAAGCTGAAAGATTCGATCCCAATTTTTATAACTATCCCGCGATTTTGTCAGCTGCTCTTGTCAAAATTAACCGACCTCCAGCTTCGTCCCCCTGCGGACACTTTTCTACCTTGTACCTTTTTCCACCCGATACCTCTTACGATGTACATGGTAAATTTTCAAGATCCTAATTGCGTAACCCATATGCTCACTCTGTCACGAGTAAGAAGAATTGACACATTAATGATTTTATACATCGCCGTGTTTCCCACTGGCATTTCAACTATCAAAACTATCAATGCAAAGCAAAATCAGTAACGCTAGTTACGCGAATTAAAAACTTCATTGGTTCTCCGATCGACATAAAACATTAGCCGCATACTCTAACGTAATTCAATAAAATCTTTAATCAGCCTTCATACCCAGGAGAGGCAAAAATTGCTTTAATTCGATTACTCTTGTCACGGCCATTTTTTGATCGTAAAATCACGTAAACTTTCACTCTTGGAAAAGATCTCAAAAGTTTCTCGAGCAAAGCTCGTCCCAATTCACTGGTCACGCCCGTAAGGAGGATCTCGCGGTCCGAGTACCAGTCGCACAGAGTCATGATCTTCTACTGACCGCAGTAAAAGAAAGCAAGCGTAGCCATCGCGCCACCAGGCGAAAGTCCTCGAATCTTCTGGGCTCGCAGCCTCTCGTAACGCACAACTCTAATCCAGAACTTCGTAACATAATTAAGAAAGAAACCATGGTGAAATCTCGGGGAATTCGACGAACGGATAAGCGTAGCCAGTTGCGTTAGCGTCTCGCGACTTCTGTGCATAGCGGAACATTTCTGTCATATCTGAACATTTCGGATCATAAGAAGACAAGAAAAAGGAATTAATCGAAGAGGCTAGGGCAGTCCTGACGCTTCCGTGTCTCGCGAGAGTATGCTAAGCGCAGCAATTGGTATGTAGAATACCGCTGCGTTTTTCCCTCAGCGAAAGAAATAACCGTTAAGGGAAGCCATTTGCGGTTGTATATGGAACACGTGGAATCGCACTATTACACCGTGAGATTAAAGTTTGAATTGTTGGGGAAACAAATTTCATAGCTTCGCTCAGTCCCCGCTCGTCTCCCCGATGGAGCCTCCCGACTGACGACGGTGCGCCAAAGTAAAGGAGCCAGTGGGCCTGCGACACGTGCGGTTTAATCGCGAATGAACGCGAATCTAAAAGATAAATGAGAATAAACGGGAGGAATAGTTTTAAAAAAAATAAAATATTAAGGAATACATTTGACTTGCCTGTTACCTTTGAAATTACTTTTTCCTTTCGATTCTTGCGTTAGACTTTGCATCATAGCATAAAAGCAACCAGCCAAACGAATGGAAAAGCAATATCTGTGACGGCGCAACTACCGGATGACCTGCTAACCTTTTCAACGATCAAGGCAAACAAGCTCTTCGATTCAGTGTCGTTACGCTCGATCACGAGATCGCGCAATGTCTTTTCTATACTGGGACTTTTAACGCAGCTCTTCTTTTCGTCATTGTAAACGTAACCCAGGCGACAGACGCAGGCGAATCGGCCGGGAAGATTGAAACACGTCTCGCCTTCTTCCTCGGAACAATTGTGCTGGCTCTGGGCGCATTCGTTCACGTCGACGCACAATCCAAATCTCGAAGACCATTCGTACCCCGTATGCTGACACTCGCAGGTTACGTTTATTCGATCTGCTACCAACGAAGAGAAATCTTTATTGTCCTCTCGAACCATAATGCAACGTCCTTCCGCTAAAACGAACAAGTAGATACGAAATATAAGACAAGTATCAGGACTTTGGGAGAAAAGTCATGGCGGCTAACCTAACCACCTCCCACCTCCCACCCCCCACCACGCGCACGGATTAAAATTTACGTGGGATTAAACTGAAAAATTTAAATAATCCTGTTACGCGAGAGTTCTGGTGCTTCGTACGCATCTCCTCTTTTCCCGTAATGGCAAGGATTCTCCTGAGACTGAAAGCAGTCTTTCATGTACCAGATGTGCTTTATGGGACAACAATGATCTGGACAGAAGCTGTAGAGTGCACAGGCGTACGGTGTGGTATCGTCCGCTCTAGGATCTCTATTGTTGTTCCCATATTGATCGAGGCAATTTGCATGATTGTCGCAAGGCTCTCCGAAAAGAGCGAGTTCGGGAATGCCGAGCATCGTGTACCAGCACATGTAGTAGCTGACCGTAGTACGCCACTGGAACCGCTCTGCGCCAGAGGAAAACTCAACAATAATTTGTGCACACAAGTGGACCCTAAGGAAGTAGCGAATGTGTGATGGATATGGCCAAAGGGAGACTTGCCAATTGGTCCTGCGAACGGAAGTGCACTCCGATTGTCACGTCTCTTGGCCATTTCACAGTCCTTTTGCGTCGCCAGAATTTCCTCGGTATTATTTTCCAAGTTCCAGGAGTTCTCTCGCATCACCGTCACGGTGTCGTCTTCTCGTCTCAGCGACGTCAGCTTCACGATCCTTTCGACATAGTTGAGACAAGCGTCGAATCCGGAAACGCAGAACTTGTGAACCTCCCAATGTAAAGACCTCAGGGCTGGCTTTGGAAATCCTTGGTACAGATGCCTGGACACCTCGCTCACTTCTCTGTAGTAACGTCGATCGTAATCTCGAAATTTATGTGCGCGAATGAAGTATGCCACGTCCCTGATCGCTCTCTTCTTATCCCAGTCTTTATCGAGATTCTCAAGAGTCTCGTCCGTTGACGCGGGTTCCTTCACTTTTATGTTGGCATCCATAACCTGATAGGTCACTGGCAGCGCCTCCTCGTCGTGATCCTCATCCTCGATACCCTCGACCTCTTTCAACTGATCGTCGACCCGTTCGGGCTTTTCAATCGCATCCGAAAAGTCTGTTGCAACTGTCAAGATGCATAATTCACAAACGGCAATGGAGACGCGCCATAAAAACTTCATAGCTGGCTGGCTCCTGCCTTAGAGTTATGAAAATCAAAGAAACGCGTCAAGCAGCTCAGCCGCGATAACAGTTGCCGGAAGACTAGAGACGCATCGATGTCAAAGATACGAAGGCGAAAGATAATTGAAATCTGAAAAGGCGCTTCGACCGGAATGAATTTTTTATAATTATTCATCGATTCGGTTAAGCGTGAATCGTTTGAGCAGTTGCCTGTAACCAGATCAACTTTTATTCGGAAAAATTATCATTCATAGGAATGAAGTTTACTCCGGCGGGAAGACCAAAGTACCTCGTTATGTCTTCAAGAGTCTCCGACCGCATTCGGTTCGTTGAATCCGCATTAAAGGCAATCCTCATCAGTGTCCCTGAGGCTGCAGTATACATTGTCATATTATTCCGTAGACAAAATAACAAGTATGTTCCTATAAATCAGTTCTCGAAAAGCACGGCATTCAGGCAGTAGGTACATTCCGAGGAAAGAATAAGATAAAAAGTGAAGAAAAACCGGAGTTCGGCTTTTAAAGTGGGTCGCGGCGAAAGGATCGTTATTCTCTAGTTTATTTCCCTGGTAAATACATAAATTGATCGGGTAATTCCGGTGAGGCGTGCGAGTCAAGTATCCGAATGAAGATGCAAACGTTATGCGGTGCGCAGATATATTGAGGAAACGGGCTTGAGAGAAAAAGATTAATACCTTTTTATAGAATGAAGAACGATCTTTTCTGTTATAATCCATATCGATATATATATATATATATATATATTAGGAGTCATACCAAGTTCAATCGATTCAAGTTGATGAGGGCCATCAAAAAAGTCGCAGATCGGATATGGAGCTTGACAATGGGCCAGCTTGAAGCTGACAGGCTCAAAGAGGACTTGCAAGGTCCAATAGAAAATAGAAACTAGGCCAGCATTCAGCATCTCTTGGCGCAGGTCTCTGGCGCCCCATTCAATGGAATTTCCCAATTCTAGGCTAAAGTCCAGATTGTCCAGCCGGCTTTGAAACACAGGGAATTGGCCGCTATAGTCAATTTACAAGAGAAAATGAACGGCAAAGACGATTCGCGCATCTGTTTCGTTTAATAATCAATGCAATTTTTTGACTTTATTACTTCAAGTGGAGCCAATCTAAGTCAAGATAGAGAAAAAGAGGGGACGCAATCGTACAAGTTTTCCAAGAAAGTTACAGTGATAAACTGTTATCCGGTACACGTGCACGGTAAGCTTGTAATTACGTAGGTACCAACTTTCCAGTATCAGATACCTAGCTCCTAAATAGAACAATTGGAACAGCAGAGCGCGCGATTGTTTCGAGATGCCACGGAGAATACAAACGTTCTTCCTACACTCTGTATTTTAATATTCCTCCTGGCGAGCCAGTGTAATTCCAGTGTGAAAACTTGATCGCCGCGCGAAACTTACATAAGAACGTCAAGGGATTTATGTTATCGTTCGAGAGATTTTCCCAGATATCGCATGGCCAAGTTTTAGCGCGTGGAAGGCTAATGCGAGCGTGCACGATCTTCGCTCGAGTTAAGAACGTAAGAAAGTAAGAAAGTAAGAAAGTAGGAAAGTATAAAACTGGAGACGCACGTTCCGTTGGGCCACGAAAGGCGACGCGCGCCTAATTTCTCATTCTCTCCACAAAGTGACCTCGTCGAACAGGAATTGATTCACCCTCGAATTATTCCTTCGTCAAGACCACACGAGTACTTCGCAAAAAAAAAGCAGCAACATGCACAAGCATACAATAATCTATGGTACATTAAATGTCCAAAGAGCTATTGACAAAAAGCTTATGTGTACGTACGTATAAATTTCTCTCGCCTCTTACTCAACTTAAACGCGTAATTTTTATTTACCTACTTGCCCGCCGAACGCAGCCAACAGACATCTTTCCACATCTAGCATATCTCGAGTCACGCCACTAGTTCCTTTCACGTGTCAGCGCCGAACGTTCACATGCAACTCTCGCTGCACCAGGCATAATAATGCACAGTCGGTCTACGGGTTCAGCCTTCTTCTTGGCAGATAAAAAACCATCAAATTTTTAACAAACTGCACTTGACTCTACATAAAGTTTTTGTTACCCGGTATGCGTGCCCATGAGTTTACACTGAAGTACATTCTATTTTCTTATTTTAGATCGCAGAATTCTGATCACAGAAGAGACGGATGGGGATTTGTGGGTTGGTGAATTTGTGAGTTAGTCAATGACTTTTACGAATAGAGAAAACGATCGGTGGGGATAGGTTTTATTTGATATCGTATCGTATCGTATCGTAAGAGGAGAAAGTTAACGAAATGTCTTTGTTAAAGTATGATACTCATGGGCAATATCTCGTGATAGCCAAGAGAAAGGAAGGGTCCTGTCATACGAGTGTAATGGGATAGCTGTCGGATAGCAGTTATTCCCAACGAGACGTCAAACAAACGGAGCAAGAAGGAGCAGAAAGAATCGAATGAATGGACAGAACGAGAAAGAATAGAAGAAATGGCAGACAAGAAATGCAGGAAAAAAAAGAGTGAAACGTCTGACAGGACACGATCTTGCCTACACTACGTCGTCCGATTTTAGTTAACGACGCCTGGCTTTGATTTTTCCATATACGACGCAACCTTCCGCCACATATCAGTAAATCCTTTTTCAATTAATGTAAAGGCGCAAAGTTCATGAACATGTTTAAGCACTTAAGGTGTGTCTTTCGCCGGGCTAGAGAGAGACGGGACTATCCTTAAGGGATACACGTACATACATATATACCTTCCAATCAGACTAATGTTGCTGTGTTTCAAGGATTCCATATTTTATTCAATCTCCCTTAATTTCTACTCGGATTCGAGATGAATATCAACGTAGTCCTCCTGCCTCTTTCGTTCTTACGATTTCGAGATATTTCATTTTCCGTTCTTACAAAATATTCGAATCGGCCAAAAGGCTCTGAAAGGTCGAATACGACAACAGTACAAGAAAACGAGTGACCTACGCCGACAGGTGCCGTTCCACTAACTGATGAATAAGTGATACTTAGTGCACAGTATGATGGGAGAGAGCATCAGTTCTATGGGATGTCGCGATTCTCCACTACTTTCTCGGATATTAATGAAAGACGGTTTGATAAATGAGCTGCTCTTGGGAGGCACATGAAAAGATAGAGGAGCCTCTGCACTCCCTTTATTCCTTCGTTCTGGCACGACTAACACCTAAGGGCCTTTAAGCGAAAAGCCAGCCAGCCCTCGCTCTCTCTCTCTCTCTCTCTCTCTCTCTCTCTCTCTCTCTCTCTCTCTCTCTCTCTCTCTCTGTCTTCCTATTCCTTTCCTATTCCTCACCTACTTTCTCCTTCGTCTTCTCTATTCCTACATTCTCGTTTACTTCGACCCTCGACGCCATCAATTTAATTACCGCACTGGATTAAAATCTGAATTATTCGGCCGCCTCAGTCTCTACGCAATAAGATCGCGAAGACGATCCACAGTCCTTAGACGCCGACGTCTAAGGACGAAAGATACACGCGTCTCAGAGAGATTCACTCGGGTTCGCTAACTGTATCGACACAAATGCGATACTAATTTCATTAAAAAATTGTATTCCTTACGAAGTTGGAAGCAAATCCATGCTAGCATATTAAGTATATAGTTCTTAGGCAGTTGATACCAGCCAAGATAAAAATACGTGGCAGCCAGCAACAACTTAATATTCCTGGGTGTCTCTCGAAGAGACTTCATTTGCTATATTATTATTTCTCATCGAGACAGAAATTCCTCAAGTGTCAACATGCCAGTATATCCCCGGGTGGACGTTCATTTAAGATTCCTGTGTAAAACGAGCAAAATATTTTAAATCAAGAAATATTTCTTTATTCGCACCAACTCGTGTTATACGAGAGTCTCATTAAAATGCAGGTCACGTAATACGAACTAAGCATAGAGAGGTGTTTTTGAATATGCGCCCTATTTTATTTCATATAGACATGAAATACATGTGTAGTAGAAAAAAAAATGTTCAAGCTGAACTATACCGTATTGTAGGTAGGAACTACTTCGTAGCGCGGATGCATGGATACGCGAATGCATAGATTTTACCATATCGATGCACGTACGGTGAGAGGAGAATACAGGTGATGCAAGCCGCTATCCTCTGTCACGATCGATCAGCCAACACTCGACGATGAGGTTGCTACACTTAATGAATGACATTAACGATGGCCGATTCGAGTACACAGGATTTCGCAAATGGCTTACGAGATATTTGTTAAATAAGTTGAGCACGTTAATCGGAATGGGTGGCCACCAAGCTGCAGACTACGTGACATCGAATTCTGATGGAGAATTTTTGCGGCTGTTGGGTAAGCACTCGACGCTCGTTACAGTTTAGCAATTCGCGACAGCCCATTAGAGCGGAATTTTCGCGAGTCGTTAGTCGAGAGAGCCACGTACGTTGAATTCAACATTTCGCGACGTTAGCTGTCGTCCGGTACACCTCCAAATCGTCCATTGCTACCACTCCCACGTCCAAATTTATTACATCTTGTATAGAAAAAGTGTTGCACCGTATATGGCGAATATGAACAAGTATTGGCGAGCAAGCCTAAAGTCTCAATTATTGCCGAAATCTACTTACTCAAGTTGCAGTTTCTGCTCTGTTCTTTGTTCGGCGTCGACGAGCGGACGAGTTTACGAAGTACACGAACTCAATGCACATCAACATTTTTCCAATCGACATTAATTTTGCCGAAAAAAAAAGTCACTAATTGGAACATTATTGTAAACGGAAAACTTGCACGTATTAGAAACCTTACGTTGTAAATTGGAATTCCAGAGATATTAATTGGAGTTGGAATTAATTTCTCGCTATTACGGACCACCTGAAACTTGATTAGTATTCCCCCGAGCAGCAGCAGTAGTAGCACGCTGACGCAGTTCAGCGAATAGTTTGAAATCGAAGTGGGTACCAACCGGTGCGAGAGCGTCCTCTACCTTCCATTTGTAATGCTTCCACTAAATGA